GCCAGAGGCGCCGGGAGCGCGGAGGCTGCGGGTCGCGGTCTTGGCCGCCTCGTGGAGATGAGCTTTTCGGGGACTCCCCGCCCCGGGGGAGAGAGCTGATTGCGGGCTCTCCTTCCTGGCGCTCGCAGCCCCTCTCCGGGTCTCTCGGTCTCTCGTTTCCTCTGTCCTCTCGCCTCCCTGCTTTCCTTCCCCTTCCAATCTCCTCTCTCCTCCGCGCTCGCTGTCCAGGCCGCTCGGAATCGGCCTTCCTCCACCCCACCCCCTCCGTGGTCTCTCCTCCTCCCACTGCGCCCCTCTAATTCCCCGTATTTCTCGCTTTCCTCTTCTCTCTCTCGTCCGTTCCCATCTTTTGGCTACAGTCCTCTTCCTCTTCTCTCCTCCCCGGTCTCCCCCTTCCTCTTCTCTTCTCCAAACCTTTTCTTTTTTGGTTTCTTGCAAGTGAAAGTGGCCCAGTGCAGAAGCGCCTTCCCTTCTTAGTCTCTCTGTAGGGGCGAGATTTGTTATCTAATCGCCCCAAGTGAGGAATTTTAGGGATGGGGTTCCTAATCTTACAGTTGGGGAGTGTTTCAAGTCCTTGGCCTCCTGAAAGTATCGAAAAACTTTCTAGTTGTGATGATTTCCTAGACTCTCGTCCCATTCTGAGAGGGCCCATGGCTTTTGGTAGGTCCCGACCCAAAAAAGGTTAAGAACCACTCCTGGCAGCCAGAGGGGGCGGGGACTTTGGCTCTCGGACTGCCCGGGTGGGGGAGGGGTTAGAGATGTGGGGGGTGGGGGGCGAATGCCAGAGGAGAGTCCTGGCCCCAGGGGGAAGCACCAGTCCCAAGAGGGATTTCTCAATCACTTACGCACGCTTCTGCCAGAGATGCTTCCAGCCCCGCAAAGCTGACACTTCAACCTACACTTACCTCGCTCCGCCCTGGGCTGCAAATTTGAAAGTCAGAAAGTAAGCCAGAGAGGGAGGATGCTGGTCTGTGAATGTGGGAGTCTGCGTGTAAATTGTCTAATCCCGGAGGGTTCAAAAGCGCTTTTTCCTTTACCAGTCCTCAGGAAGATGGGAGGTGCTAATTTCAAGAGAAATGACAATTTTTGTAAAAGATGTCACATGTGCATTTGCCCAAGTTTCCCAGAACCAGAGTTTCCTGTCCCTTATTAGGCTGGCACTCAGGGTTGAAAATACTTAAGATTGCCAACACCAGGGACCAAATACCAATATGCTAGAAATGTCCACTATTCTGGAAATATTAATGCATATATTTCTCCTGGTAGAAGGAAAAATAACTTGGCAGGACTGGAATATCCTAAATAAGTTGTTAGTCCAAATGGACTACTATTGCCATTGTCCAACTGTATTCCTGAAGTGTATAATTCCCGGGTGTATACAATGATGCATAAAGACGGTAAACTAGTAACACCTGCACAGTACACAATAAGAGAATTTTAAGAGATGACATTTAAGTATTTGTCTTCAACCTTCAAAGTAATTCACTAAAATACATTTCTTCTGCCCTAACTGGTTTGGCTCAGTGGCTAAAGCATCGCCTTGCGGACTGAAGGGTCCAGGGTCAAGGGCATGTGCCTTGGTTGCGGGCACATTCCCAGGCAGGCTGTGCAGGAGGCAGCTGATCAATGTTTCTTTCTCACTCTCTCTCTCTCTCTCTCTCTCTCTCTCTTTCCCTCTCCCTTTCTCTCTGTAAAAAATCAATAAAATATATTTTAAAAAATAAAATACATTTCTTCTAATACAAGATCTTTCTTCTCATTATCAATAAAATTCCTCACAATCACAGCATCAAGGAATTGCTGAGAGTTTAGCAAGGAACAGAAAAATGTCAAGAAATCAAACTATTAGCTGATTCTCAGGGAAAGTATTGTAGAACTCACACTCTCAAATCGCTAAAATGCATAGCTCTTTGATAGGCACTCAGGTGAATGGAACGGAATGGAGAACCCAGAAGTAAACCTATGCACACATGGTCCATTTATTTATGACAGAGAGCTGAGAATGTACGATGGGAAAAGGATAATCTCTTCAATAACTTTTTTGAGAAAACTGGACAGCCACACGCACGCAAAAGAAAGAAACTGGATCGCTTTCTTGCATCACACACAAAAATTAGCTCAAAGTTGATTAATGACTTGAACATAAGACCTGAAATCATAAACTAGAAGAAACATACGGGGTGATCTCCCTGACATCGGTCTTGGTGATGACACTTTGGATTTGACACCAACCAAAAACAAAGGCAACAACACCAAAAATGAGTGGGACTACATCAAACTAACAAGCTTCTGTGCAGCAAAAGACACCAGTCACAAAACGAAAAGGCAACCTATGGAATGGAAGAAAATATGTGCACATCTTATATACCAGAGAAGGGGTTAATATCCAAAATATATAAAGAACTCGTATAACTCAGTAGTAACACACACACACACACACACACACACACACACACACACAATCTGATTAAAAAATGGAAAGAGGATCTGAGTAAAT